CGTTGCAGGGCCCGTGGGGATCTCCGCAGAGCTGCCGGCGGCGAGGAGGAGGAGGAGGAGGAGGAGGAGGAGGAGGAGGAAGAGGAGGATGCCCGTGAGGAAGACGGCGAGGAAGGCAAGGGGCTGTATTTCCGGCTTCCGTTGAACATGTCTCTACAAACTAAAATGGATAACATGGAACTGAGGAGCATCGATGCAATGGCTGCAAACTTCCATACCTTCATCTTAGAGCAAGTCAGAACATTGAAACTCTGCAAAACAGGCAAAACAAATATCCTTATTACGCGGCCTTCGCCCGTGGCCCCCTCTTCCCTCCCCCCGTCCCCGTGGCTGACCATCTCCCATGGCACCACCAGCATCCCCTTGGCTCCATCTCATCCCCTCCACCCTCCCGAGAGCGCTCCGGTGTTGCAATGGGGAAACTGAGGCACGGAGATACGGTACAGCCCACTGCAAAGGGGGAACTGGCCCTGGCAGGCGAGGGTGACTTGGGGCTGGTGGTGGCAATGGGGACAAGGCGGTGTCCTCAGCCATGCCACCCTGTGACGCCTCTTTGCCCAGCACAGCCCCTCCTTGGGACGTGGCGAGCAGCAGACGGGGTCCCCGGCTCCATCGTCCCCTCCATCGCAGAGCCCCAGTGTGGTTTGATGTCCCCGGAGCCCTGTGAGGCTGCCCCTACCATCCTCTCACCCAGACACTTAAACGGAGCCTGAATCCCTCCCCACCAGCCCAGTGATGCAGCAGCTCCAGCAAAACCAGACAAAATCAAGAAAACCTCAGGATAAAAAAAAAAAAATGAACGGGGCGACTGGACTGTCCCGGCGCGGCTGCAAGGGTTGTGGTGGGACTGGGCACCTCGGCTGTGCCGATCAGCTGGGGTTGCAGCCCAGGAGTTTCTCACAGCATAAAAAAAAAAAAAAACCCGCTGGCATTTCTCTCGCAGGAGAGTTGGGCCCTTACCTTACACCACTCCATTTTTTTCCATTCAAGGCAGATTGGATCTGATGGGATTTTACAACTGACCCCGCAGCCGGGCAAGGCAGCGGGGAATTGGGTCCGTGCTCCTGTCAGTGGGCTGTCAGCCATTAAATCCCCATCAAAGACAGGCTCTGGAAAGCAGCACGGACTTGCAGCCGCCTCCTGGCCCCTTTTTTTATTTCAGCTCCTTGCAAACTCCAAACATTTCTCCTTTTTAAATAAATTTTCCATGGGGGGAAAAAAAAAAAATAAAAAAAAACGGAGAGAAGGAAAAAAAAAAAAAAGAAAAAAACCCAACCCCGGTTTAGCAATATTTGCCAAGCAGAATTTACCAGGGTGGGGGAAAAAAAAAAAGTTTATTTTAAAAATGGAACTTGACAGGTTTGCTTTTACTGTTATTGTAGAAAACAACAAGAAGGGCTGCGAACGCTGCCTGGTTGCCAGCAAGCCTTTATTTTACAGGATGCAGGTAATTGCACATTAACTAGAAGTAATTATATGCCCCGTAGGTTACAAGATAATTGTAGAACCCAGCCAGAGTCTAAATATTTTCAACTGGGCTATAAACAATGCCAAGCTAGAAAAAGAATAGTTTCGCCTTATAAGGAGGTAAGATCGTGAAATCCCGCCAGGATACGAAGCGGCGGAGCTGGCCGAGACACCGCGCCGATAAGCACCGGCAGCGGAACGTGCGTCGGGGTGGAGGGTTTGGAGGCGGCGGCGGGGAGCACCCGGAGGGGGACGGTGCTGGTCCCCTCCCGCTGCCGCTTCTCCTCCCACAGAGCCCAAGGTCGAGCCGGTCTCCCCGACCTGCTGGCGCGGGGAGGGTGATGGATGCCGCTGGGTGTGTTTGCATCTACATTCATCATCATAATTAGGTGCCTGGAGTTCAGATTTCTCCTCCGAGATAAGAGCAGGAGCAGGGAACGGGCACTGAGAACGCTCAACCGGCACCAAACGGTTCTTAGCAAGGCGGCCGGGATGGGTGCTGAACGGTGAAGGACCGAGAAAATCACATTTTTTTTTTTCTTGGACAGTTTGTAAAATTCGGGGAATGAAGGACCCACGAAGGGACAGCAGCCTCAGGTGAAGCAGCTGTGCGGGTTTCGGAGGTGGGGAAGGGACCCCGCTTGCGGTGACGTGTTGGCCGGCAGCGGTTGGCCGTCCAGGAGGACAACTTTTGGCGGCTGATGTTCAGGCATCTGGGGAGGCGACGGACAATCAGCCATGGGGTCCCACCACGCCTCGGGCTCAGCCTTCATCGCCACCTCCCGAGCTGCTCCCCCATCGCCCTGCGCCGGGGCGGGAAGGGCTGCGCCGGAGCAAGGCTGCGACACTCGAGCCGTGCACCTGAGGAAGGGCCTCTGCCTTACCGAGAGCCCATAAATTTTTAGGAGAGTGGTTTCAGCCTCACTGCACGTCCTGTAAAAAAGCCTCCTATTTCGGCAGCCAGTAATTTTCGCCCCCACCCACTCGCCAGTGACCTTTCAAAAGACTAAAATCCCAGCTCCAACGTGCAAAACAATAAAATAAAAACAAATAATAAAAAAAAAAATAAAATTCCAGGCTTTGCCTTAGGTTTCTCTTGCTTTAAAAAGCCACAGACTGCATGTGCCAACCTGTGGGGAAAGCTGAACTTTGGGGTGGGGGGAAAGGAAACCCACACACACGCACGCAGGAATCACCGCCGTGACTCACCCGGGACGATGTTCACCCTCCCATCTGTCTGGTTTTCACGTATTTTAAACCCACTCCCAGCAATGACGAATAACCACAAGGGGTTTGACACGTGCGCCCCGGGACCCGCCGCCGCAGGCGTTGCCGCGGGGCTCTCCCGCCGCTCTGTTTAGACACGTGGGGTGCAGCCTCATCTCACATCCCCGAAACACCAAGGGTGCCCGCGCCCCGGGATGCACCCTGAGCTGCCCGGGGGTGGCGATTTGCACATGAGCGTGCAAAGCAATTGCAAGGAGCTGAAATGAGTGAAGCCGGCAGCCAGCGAGACCCGAGAGAGCTCCAGTGCTGGGCGTCCGTGGGGAGGGGGACTCACGGCCCACCCTCCACTCCTCAGGTGTTTGCAGGCAATGCCAGGCTGCTGTGACAAAGTTGCCTACGGCGATTGCTCAGCATCTGTTGGGACAAGTGTTCACAGAACCAGACCCATAGAATATGGTTTGGGTGGGGAGGGACCTCTAAAGCTCCTCTCGTCCAACCCCCTGCCATGAGCAGGGACATCTTCAACTCCGGCAGGCTGCTCAGAGCCCCGTCCAACCCGAACGTTTCCAGGGATGGGGCATCTACCACCTCTCTGGGCAACCTGCTCCAGGGTTTCACCACCCTCAGCGTAAAAAATGTCTTCCTCATATCTAGTCTGAGTATTGACTTGTCCAAGCCTTGCTCCTGCCGGCCCAGCGAGCCTCCGGCAAGGAAACACCAGGATATCCCCCATTCCCGGGGCCAGGAGGCAGTCCCACCACTCGGGGTACCCTGCCTGGCACCCACATCTAAAAATCGCCCATTAAATCCACGTTGGGGACTTGTCCCTCTTGCTTAAAGTAATTTTGGGAAAAGAAAAGCGCATTGCATGGGTGGGGATGGGCTGGGGGGGGGAAGGGGTTTGGCTGAAAGGCCAAAGGATGGCCTTGGGGGGGTTTGGCTGCAGGTGGCCAACAGACCAGCCTGGGGGGGGATGGACAAGGCTGCTCCAGCTTTGCTCCCTCTTTCTGGAGGGGATGGAGGAACCCCGCAAACCTGGGGCTTTGGGATGCCGCAGGAGCTGAAGGTGCAAAGCTGTGGCTGTGAGGGCGTGCCAAGGGACTGACGGGGAGCGCAGGGGGCAGGGGGGCTCACGGAGAGGTGCCGTATCACCTGGGGACGCCTCCTCTGCCAGCACAGAAATCCTTCTTTTCACAAGGCAAACGGGCAGCCTGCTTGGCTCTTACCATGTGTCACCGGGAGGCAAAACCCATCGAGCCACCACGGCTTTAGGAGTCGCCCTCGGCCACGGGCTGTGCCCGTGCATTTACCCCAGAAGGGACCCACTGCAGCCACCCCACGCGCGGCCCGTGGGTCCGTGCCCCAGGTTTGCTGGGAGGGGGCTTTTGGGCTGAGTCCTGGCAGGGTTCAGGCGCTCGCAGCTACGTTACATCCCGGGGAGGGACCCAGGGATCCTCCCTGGCTTGATTAAAGGCCAAAGTTTGTGCTCAGCTTTTCTTCCGGAGGACAGCCCAAGAGCTCCCTATTTCCCTGCGTTCTCCTGATAATCCATTAATGCGATCACAACCGTCTAGCCGCGCCGTGCCTGCTGCCAAGCGGGGAACTCAGTCTCGCTGGAGAAGACCCTTCCCTGCCACACAGCCCCCACAGCAGCCCCATTTCACAGGGGCCCAGCTCTAGAGCTGCTCCAGCACAAAGCCTTTGCTCCGGGAGCCTCCTCTGCCATCACCTGCCCCACTCTCAACCCCACGGCAGCTGGCTCCTGCCGGGGCTCGCTGCTTTCCAGGCAGAAGGAAAACTACTCCGTGCCCCGAAGAATCGGAAATATTAAGGAAAAAACAAGAAGTAGCAGCACAGCCAACTCCCATCGCTTCGTCTGGAGGGAGCAAGTTGATTATCTTGGCTCCCTCTGCCACTGCAGATCCTCCCCAAAACCCCTCTATGAGCTCCTCGTGCCTCTCGTCTTTCTTTCCAAAGGGGATCCGACAAATCCACGCTGCAGCCCTAAATAAACTTTTCCAAGGCTCGATTACCCTCACTGTTCGGAAAAAAAAAAAAAAAAAAAAAAAAAAAAGTCAGATCAATCGAGTCTCATTTCTAGTTGGCGTTTTCTTCACTTCAGCTCCCAAGTGTTTCTGCTGCCTTTTCCTGCAATCAAAAAGCAGCGACTCCTTCCCCGCAGATGCATTACCTTCGCGCACAAAAACAGAGCATTTTGGGCTTCTTGGACTTCCCTCGCTTCTCACACACTTGTTTTTTGTCAGAACTCTTTTTTTCTTTTTTTCTAATCCATTTCCAATTTCTCAAGCAGATTCTTAGGGGTTGTTTCCAATATCCACCGACTGCTTAAAGCCTCAATCCCGGAGTCATGAGATGAGGGGGGGGAAAAAAAGCAGAGTTCTACTTTTTTTTTACCCTAAATCCTCCTTGCTGGAGCAGGGAGGAGGAGACGCGAAAACTTTCAGCCTCGACGCTTCAAAGCCCAGAAAGCAGAGAACCCAAAAGACATTATATTATAAGTGTGTCATAAATTTTCAGTCGATTCATGCTTCCGGGCATCGATTCACTATTTTCAAGCGCTCAGCCTCAGCCACGCCACAAGAATGGATGAGGCCACTGAGTGGCCGAGGGTTTTTTGGCAACACAAAACACTTGGAAAGACAAAGACCTTGATGGGACATCAGAGAGCGCTTCCACCTGCCACACACTGTTTATTTTAGTGCCTTAGATGGGAGCCAAGCTGCTTTGAAACCCCCGGCTCCTCATGACTCACCCCACAGGAATTAAACAATTTCCATCCAGGCTCACGGTGAAGCAGCTCCAGGGGCTGCTGGAAAGCGGCTCCTCCAGCAGCGGCCTCCGGCTCAACGCCTGGTCCTGCGCGCAGGATGGTCGGCAGGTCCTGAAGGGCGGAGAGACCACCTGGGTAGACTTTCCCCCAAATTTATGGCAAGCTCCTGACCTGATTTTATGGGAACTGACCCCCCTCAAAGAGCATCGGCGTGGCTGAGACCCCCGAGCAGGGCGGATGCTGCGCTCAGGGTACTAGAGCCTGCAGTGGGATGGCCAGTGCCCCAGGGTCAAACCAGCCCCCAGATGGCAAAACTGGCCCCGAAATGGGGACCACCGAAAGGAAAAAAGCCCCAAACCCTGATCTGAGTTGAACTATTGCATTTTCCTGCTCTTTTGATGGTCAGTGGGTGCATAAAGGAGGGGAAGAAAGACCATGTCCCCATCTCCAGCCCTGCTCCGGAGGTTGTTCCGAGGACACAGAGTGCCACCACCTCAGTGCAAACGTCCCCTTGGCTGGGGACACGGGGCAGTGGTGCCGACATCCTCGCCAGCAGCTCCCCCGCCCCAGCACGGCCTCGTGCTTTGAATGCCAAAAGCGATGATGGCCATGGCGCGTCCCACAGTCCCGCAGCACTGCCTTGTCCCTGCGATGCCTTCCTCCCCTCCCCGGCCCTCCTCACTCCCCTGTAAGCAAAACCAGAGCCGAGCGCGGGACACATGGTTCTGCTTTGCCTAAGTGAAAACCAGCCCAACGCGAGAAACTCCAAAGCTCTTCCCGCAGCCTCAGCTTCCCCCAGTCGTTCCCCCCCCCCAAAAAGGACCAACCACAAACGAGCCAGACCTTTGTCCCTGGGCTCCCCGCCACAGCCCAGCTCCTCTGGGAAAGCCTTTTGGGGCAACCGCCAAAGCCCCTCCTGGCTGCAGCCGCTCGGCAGGGCCCCGGCAAGGAAACGGCAGTGGCGGAGCCAGTCCTGGACCCACGGGATGGCTGAGAGGGAGAGGGGGCCACGGGTGGGTGGGGGGAGCATCAGTGTTCCCGGCAGCGCAGGGAGCCCCTCGACTGAACACGCCAGCCATCGGCAAGCTGCGCCGTTCCCACGCTGACATGACATTTACATTCGGGCTGAATTACGGCGGGTTTGGTTTACATCTCTCCAAACAGCTGGATAATAATAAATAATAAAAAAAAAACACCCAACAACCCACAACCTCATCATCATGATAAAAATAATAAGAAAAATAAGTCCTCAACAAGTCCGTGTGACAGAGCTGAAGGGTTTGCTAGGGGCACCTGAGGTGCCGCAGGCGATGCTGGGGGGTGATGGTCATGCTGAGCTCCAGCTCGAGGCTGGAGAAGGAAGATTTTGTGGCTCGGCCACAGCTGGGATGCTGCAGCTCAACGTGAGCAGCAAGGCTGGGGCGCAGCTTTCCCGCCCTGCTGAGCTGAGCCTGGGTAGTTGCCATCAGACGGAGCAGCCCCGCTCTTGGCCCCATCCATATTCCCACCATTTCCCTCATTTCAGGCTTTGGGGAGCCAAATCGGTGCAAACGCAGCCGGGCTGAGCACCGGAGATGGCACCAGGAATTTCGGGCACATTAACCCCCCCGTGCCATACGCACAGCCCCCGCCCCTAGGCACCTCTGGTGATGCGCCTCTCCGAAGGGCATCACCTTCTCCCCACGGGCTGTGGGGCTGGCAGGGAGCAGGCACAGGACCCCCCGCAGCCCCCATGGTGTGGCCAGAGCCCTGTGCCAGGGAGATGCCCCATCCCCTGTCCCACGGCGCCGATAGGACCTGAGCAAACGCTGCCAGCGAGGGGGTTTGGGAGCTCTTGCAGGAGGGGATGGAGCACAGGGGAGGAAAATCCTGATTTGTGCCACGGCTGGGGGGCACCTTGAAAAGCCATTTTTGTGTGGCAGGGGACAGCATCCTGCCACCCCGAGCTGGCTCGCACGGGCAGAAACCAAACTCACTGGGATGGAAAAACCCAGCGCCAGTGCCCTGTGCCACGTCTGGCACCGCTCCGGTGCCCCCAGCCCAGAAACCCTGGGGTCACGACCCGCTCGCCTCCCTCCCACCCCGCCAGCACAGGGCCAGCCCCGCTCAGACCCATTTTGGCGCTGGACCCCTCCAAGGAGTCCTCGCGAGCCGGATGCCGCGATGGTGCCGGCCGATCTCACCGTCTCCCGTCCCTCCCGTGGGATTCGTGCTCTCACCATCCGGCGCGTGCCCCGGCACGGCGTGGGGCTGCGGGGAGGCAGACGGCCCCGCGGGACACATCCACACCCTGGGAGGCAGAGCCAGGGCCTTTGATTCCTTCCCCGGAGGTCCCGCGCGGGCTTTCATGTCATTAATTAACAGGGGACACGCAGCAGGCACGCGGCGGGGAGGAATCCCACTGCAGACGTGGACCCGAGCGTGGCAGCGCGACGAATTCTGCCGCGGTGTCCAGCTGGGTCCCCGTGTTGGGATCAGCTCAGCCCCAGCTGGGTTTAGCTGATCCCTGGTGAGGGCGAATAAAGATGCTGCTTTCCCTCCAGCCCCAACTGCCCTCGTCTCCCACCCTGCCGCTCCTGTCCTTGCCGCTCTCTCCGTCGCTCACCGGGGCACGCCGGAGGCAGAAACGCAACTGCAATATAAATCAGCATTAAAAAAAAAAAAAAAAAGCCGTTTAAATGCAGCATGACTCACTGCAGTGTTCACCCTGCCTGGCCAGCTCAGGGACACCCGGGTGGTGCCTGTGTGGAGGTCTGGGGGCACCTGGTTGAGACCTGCACACCCACCCTCCCTCACCCCCCTACTTCTGTTAAAAAATAAAAAAAAAAATCATTGAAAACATCCCATTTTGGGAATCTCTATTCCTCTTCGCAGCTAAAAATCAGCCAAAGTGTTTAAAAATCCCAGCTGGTTGGACACGGGTGGTGTGGTGCCCGGCTGATGGTTTCCAGCAGGCGCCGGTCCCCAGCCCAGTGGCTGCGTGTTCCCACTGACCCCGACAAGGTGCGATTGCTTCACCAAGGTCAGCGAGGCTACAGCAACCCAAAACCCTTTGTAAGCCGATTCAGTCAGTTCTAAGCAGCAGCAAGAGCTGCCCTTTATGGTAAGAGATGAGTAAATGGAGATAAATCGACAATAAAACGCTTCAGGATGGTATCGCTCAGCGCGTCAGCTTGCGGCGTGACGCAAAATAGTTGCCGTAATGGGGAGCGAGGTGGGAATAAAAACTGAAAAAAAAACACCAAAAAAAACCAACCCCACTGATGCAGCCAGATCCCATTCGCTGAAGGGTAGAGAAAAATAAAAATATATTTGTTTGAAATCCCACCAAACCCAGGACAGTTTCTGCAGGAAATCAGGGATAACTCCATCCAGAAAAAAAAAAAAAACAAAAAACAAAAAACAAACAAAACCACAAGCAAGATCCACTCCCTCCCAGTCCTGGGCACCCATGGGTGCTGGTGTGCTGGCTAACAGCACCCAGCATGGTTTCTCCAGCCCTGAATTTGCCCCTCATGCTGAAACCTGGAGTCTGAATGTCAATTAATTTTTTTTTTTCAGAGTGACAAACCACCGCCCCCCCCC